CTCTGTAGTGTGGAAGTGTTTGACTGTATACGTTGAAAAGCACAGCCAGTAAGTTGCTGGCAAACCCGGCAAGATGGGCGATGTTCTTCTCTGCATCCTTCTTGGTAATCCTACGCTGGAGAACCAGGTCATCACCCTCCGTCTCGAGGGACAAAATGGCCTGGTTTGACTCAACGAGATTCTGCAAGGCCTTGCAAATGTCCACACGCAAATCAGCTTGCTTGTAGAGCACGTTGGAGAGAAGCTCGGCAAAGCTCTGGTCGAAAGCCTCAACAAGATCCAAAGGCAGCTCGCAGTATCCAGGAAGAATAGACCAAGTCTGCTGAACAAGTGTTTCGAAGATCTTTGTCTCCACAGGCTTCTCTGCGGCCGTGAAAGCCATCACCTTTTGGTACAGAGCTTCACTCAAAGGAACGAGCTCGGAACGGAAATGAGAGAGGTTTGTGTTGGTAACATGGTCTCGAAGCACAGGGAGGAACCAAACGCGACCCGGTTGGCCAGCCTTCTGCTCAATGATATTAAGAGGCAGAATCTCAAGGACCGCTGCAGGGCCCATGGCTTCAACGGCACTGCCGAGGACCTGATCGGCCTGCTTCTTGCCATGGAAGGATTCATTACTACGGAGCTCTCCCACAGTCTTCACAATGTCATCCAAAAACGGACTGGACCGCCATTTGAAACTATCGAACATTGCGGAGCACACATTGAACACTTCCGCCCAAGCCGCTTGGTACTTCACGGAAAGCAGATTCGTCGCCTTCTTGGCCAACTTCTCGAGCGTTTTCTCGTCGTAGACTGATGGCTCAATGATCACACTGTTAGGAATACAGTTGGCCATGAACGAAACCAGACATTCCGATGCCGAAATCCTAATATTCTTTGATGGCGACGCCAAATAACTGGAGATCATGTCGAACAACGACGGCAGCTTCTCGAAGGTATCCTCGGGGCTGATCTGGGATGACACATCGTAACCGCGGGACAGAACAGCAATCCATGGAGGAAGCAACTGCGAATCGTTCTGTGCGGGCTTCAATTCGGAAATCGCCTCAAGAAGACGGGGAAGCTTTGAGGACGAGAACTCGTCGGCCATGCTGGAGAAAATAACCTCGAACACCTCAAACGCACCCATGGTGATATACTCGTTGCTCGATCGGGAAGCATTCATCAACAACTCGCATAAGGGCTCAATCTTCTTGCTCGGCCAGCCTCCCGAGGCCGTCGCGACCGTCTTCACCAGTTGAAGGGAGTGGATGACCAACGGATCATGGTTATGTGTGTGAGGATCATTACGGCCCCGCTTCTGTTTGGCTGCTGCGGCGATACTGTCACCCAATGTGCGCAGTGCGGACTCCGCACACATGTCTGCAGCTGGGTGATCAAGCGACGGGCTGGGGGGAGGAGTCTTCAGGACCTTGATCAAAGCGTCCTGGGCCCTCTTGCGTACCTTAGGGCGGTGATCCACGGACAGACTCAACAAGCCTGCAGTGGCCCGACGCGGGCTGATCTGGGTGTGGGGGAGATTCCATGCTGCGGCATCCTGAGCGATGAGTAGCGACTCGAGACAACCGATCGAGGGTCTAAGCAACGGAGCTTCGGATTCGGGCAAAGAGAGCGCGGGGGCAAGGCTGGTGAGGATCTGGGAGAACTTGGAACGGAGAATTGGAGCGGGGGCGTAGGCGGTAGTAATGTCGAGGAGGTAGACCACTGAGGTCGCCAGATCCTTGTTGACAATGCCCTGTTCGGCAGAGATCGACTGAGACAGCAAAGCAAGTAGCGCTGCAAAGTAAGCTGTAGGTGAGAAGTCGGCGTTCTGATCCCGGAGCGTGTCTTCCACTGCAGAAAGTACGACAGCCGTCTCATACAAAGTTAGCAATGGTTGTGGTTTGCGGCACAACAGCGCGCGGGACTTACATGGTGCTGATTCTGCAATTTGGGAGACTTGATCTTCTCGAGCTTCTCCGCCAGGGTCGCCATGGTGGGCGGGTCAACCGACAGGAAGTAGAGAAAGTCACTTCAAAAAGTGCGACTAGTATGGGGAGGGAGGTCAGAAAAGAAGGTGCGGTGAAAGCGGAGATATTTTTTTTTTTCTTTGAGTAGTGAATGGTTTTTTTGGGTACAGTAAAAATTTGGGAAAAAAGGTACGGAGATAAATTCTTGGCGGGCCCTATCGATAGCTATCGATAACTATCAGCCCATGTCCATAAAATTTAATCTATTCAAGTGAAACAATTCTACACTCGTTCGATTCACAGAATTTCTCTAAGGATTTCACAATACCCGTATTTCATGGTCTCCTGAGAGTCGCGGAAACAAGGCAAACTGCACCGTGCCTCATCCAGCAGTTCTTTGTTCATATATTTGAATAAAACAGTTGAAAGAAAAAGAAAAGAAACGAAAAGAAAAGAAAAGCGTAATGAGACATCAGAATCGTCAAACATGGCCGCTATCATCCAATCATCTGACCAGGCTCGAGCCTGTATCTTGTTCTCAACCACCTCATCATACCAGCCATATTTAGTCCAATGGTTCCAGTGACACCGTCAACTTGATGACAGATCACTTCCTAAGCTTTAGGAAAGCCAAGAAAGCCGCTACATCCACCGCATTCTTCGTCGTATCGCAGTACGGCGATGGGCCAAGAAGAACAATAGCCTGGCTTCCGCGACGATCTTGCAAGGCCCTATTGTTCTTAGCCTCACATATCAAATCAATCCACTTTGAGACATTTGCCCTACTCCCTTCACGAGCAAGCAGTGTCTCGTTATGTCTTTGTCCCAGTAAAAGAATACCGTAGACAGATATCAACCGACAGAAGGCCCTTGCTCTAGCCTAGAACAGGATCTCCCCGCTATGTTCGGCCTCGAAGCCAAGACCCTGTAGCTTGCCCTGACGTTTCTTGTCCCCAGTCTTTCGCTCACTATCTTCTTTCTTTTTCAGTTTAAAGACTTCCTCGAATGGGGCCTTTTGCACATGTGGCGGGATATCGTCTTCCTTATCGAGGTCCTATTACGGCGCAAACCATCATGTAAGCACAGTCCACAATAGAAGAAGCCAGGAAAAGGTGGAACCAGGGAGATAAAATAGAAATGTAAATATCTCTAGGGCATCCTACAATTTCTCCAAGAAGTAACACATTCTCTCCTCGAACCAAGAAAATACCCCGGGAGATCTCCGCATAGAGATTGCCAGCATACAACCGCTCGATAGTATCCTGGAGAACGAGATTCGCTGCAGAAATCGAGAGGTGGAGCGCATTAGATCACCGATCGCATTTGAAGCCGATTAAAGTAACCCATACCGAACTGATCCCAACTTCTCAAGACTCCAATCAATTTTCTTCCGTCTCGTAGCACTAGGACGAGTTTCTCTGATCATTGTTAATCCGCATCCCCACTGAAATATAGTCGCCATACAATGGAAGGCGAAACGATAAAGGTAAAGCAGACATACTATCCGTCAAATCCAGCAATTGAGCAGCGGTCGTGAACATCTGGGGCGGTAACTGCGGCGGACCTTGCGACATCGGACCCAGTGAGTTATTCTGCGGTGGGAATCCTGGCGGAGCATTTCCTTGCTGATGACCACCAGAGTGGTCGTTGATCGAGAGTCGTTCCATGTCTCCTATGGCACGGACTGTATGGAGTATGATGATGAAAGGGTGGGGGAGGTAGACGTGAGAATTCCGCTGTCAATTGCGGTGGGACTAGGCTCGGAAGTTTGATTCTGGTAGGATACTCTCAAATGAAATAGACAAATGTTGATAATCGCATACTGCGATGGTAAATATCAGGAGAAATAAGAGTGTGGGTTGTGCTGTAAGCAACCCCGTGCTGAGTTAGTTCGATGTGGTGGGAATGAATGATTGAACATGGACACTGCTTGGACCATATGTTTGTTCTGTTTGTCATGCGCCGCCAGTTCATGACACAATGGGTCCGTGTTGACTCCGTAGCCCTAGTCTAGATCTAAAGGCAATAAATATACTCCGTACTTAAATGTTGCTCTTAACTTGGTCCATACAAGAGAATTTGTAGAGCATGTTTCGCGTCTGCAGTATGATATTCATAGACATGGAATTACTAATTTTGAATCGGTTTGCCAACCGGTCCCTGATATTATCTGACCACTGTATTGCCCATGATCTTAAGATCTTCAAACAAGATCCCCTAAGAAACAGAGAACATCAAGCTAATATTGCCAAATCTGTCTTCCATATTGCAAAACGACTTACAGCATAACAGTAGAACTTGGAGGCGTAATCTAAGATTCCCTCTCTGACATTTTCTGACGTCGTTATGGCCCCGTTCTTCATGGCTTGCTTTCAAAGGTTTCGTCACCCCTCACCCTTACTTGGGTAAGGTATTCTGAGAGTAACTGCTAATATAGCCACTCGCAAACGTCCTTCTATTGGTACTCAATATCGAGTAGTGTTGTTACAATCCTTGCAGAATCCCCAAGCGTGGACTGTAGCAGTCGGACATGGGTTGTCCATTAAACTTCAAAATCAATAAGGGTCTTGCTTGCAGCCGTAAGCCTGTAGCGGTTAACCCTGGGTAATGAAGTTTTCTCTTTGGTATTTCCTCCTTATTTGACTTCTAAGTTTCTGTGGTCAGAATACGCAGCATGGCATCGCGATGAGAACAATTATGCTAGAAAAATATATAGTGCAGTCGCCGCTGCTCAAAACACACGAGAAACTGCCCGCAGCATACCTCGTCCCCTTAGACCGCAAATGAGCATACACTCATTCATTATGTGCAAGACAAGGCCCATACTTGGGGGATGGTACTTTTGTCCCTGCATCTACCATGCAGCAGTCTACGAGTCATGCTTGGAAATACGATGTATCGAAAATAGACTCACCAAATATCACATTACCCCATGAAGAGTAGAAACAGCATGTGCCAAGGATAGGCACTACTGTAGGTTGTAAGATTTCTGAAGATACCTTGCTTCGCGAAGCAGTTTAGTGCATCTTGGATTGCTCCATGGAAAAAAAGAAAAAAAGAAAAAAAGAAAAAAAGAAAAAAAGAAAATAAATCGTTTTGGATTCGCTTTTGACTTTTCGCTAGATAACATTATTCATACCACCCTGCAGAAGAAAAGATAATACACAATCTGTCGTGAGACATTATGTCTGTTCGTTAACATGTCCTGCGGCCATCCATCAGTATCGGAAGTTGTTACAGGAACACAGAAAGGTCTGGAAGAAACGAAAGAGAAAGCTGAGAGAAAGAGAGACCACGCACGACTTCCTGAGTCAGTTTCGGCTTGGAATAAGGAAATAAGGCCCCACTGGTACCCAGTGAGGCAAACCATCATTGCATGAAGTCGCGCCACACAGCCTGTGGACTGATAAAAATCCCACACGACATCATCCGACGCTGACCCCTCGACGCTGTCCTCGCATCCTTTGTTCTCGCCGTCGACTATACGGAGCACAGTATGGTTCATCTGACGACCCTATGTTTGCCCGGACGGGTTCTTGTGATCGATGATAAGCAGGACTAGACGGCGGCGGCGGCAGCTGCATCACCTTGAACTGGTCGACGCTGATAATCCGCATGCGGTAAAGATACTGCATCAGTTCAAAATCCGGTCGGCTTCCGGCTAGGGTCTGGCCCCGTTGATAATGTGCTACATCGACATGGTCGAGCATGCGATCCCATCCTTTCTGTTCGGGGGTGTCGCTGAACCGCTCGCCCGGACATAGAGGGCATCGGGCTGTTCGCGGGGGTTCGTGGGTTCGGAAGTGGCTCAGAACATGAGTCTTCCATTGCTCGGCGTCGTCGAAGGTGTGATGACAATCTAAGATATAGAACAGACAGATATAGGTGTGATGATGATATTGACGAGCAGGGCGGGACTGCGGGACGACAAGTGCGCCTGTCCCATCGTCTTCTAATATCTCCTGGCCGGCGAGCCCTTCCGCCCATCTTGTCTCCAGAGATACACCCACTGACGAGGATGAAGCGGATGCGGCGTCGCTCGATAGAGACGGGACAGCCGTGGAGGAGGGCATCGTTGCGGCAACGGCTTCACTCCCACCACTAGACACACTCTTCGTGCTTCCGTCCGCGGCTAGACGTAAGCCGCCTGGTTCGAATGAGAACAATGATCTTGGATGGCCGGCGTTCGTGCCAGCAGCACCGGGCGAACACCTTGATACGACACGATCTGTAAAAGTAACGGGGCGATCCTGTTCCCACATGCTTAGTCCGTGAGCGGCGAGTGAAAAAGCAGCAGCAGCAGCAGCATCGGTCATTAAATTAGTAGTTTTTGCGACCGCACTACCCAAGCCCATGCACCAAAGCGGGGCAACACAGCTTGAAAAGAAAAATGGTTAAGGATTGGTAGGGGGGGGGGGGAAGTTGCCATCTTGTTGAAATGATTTCTGTGACCTTTACCTTCTTCTATCTTGGAGATATCAGCTGCTTTCAGCAAACTTATCTCCCGTACTACCGTGGCGTTTGGGTTGGTTTGTCTCCAGCATCACGCGTCAACCGATTGATGTGGTGCAGAAGTTGTTTATTCGATCCGAGAGGCTCAAGCGTCAGAATCTAGCGGGGGGAAATCAAAGGAAGCAAATCATGTTCCATAAGGATTCAACTTGTCAAGTCAATAATACCTATATCATAATTCACAACTTGACTGGAGCCACGTCCACAGCTGAGTGAGTAGCCTACGATCAGCAATAAATAACATTGATTAGGGATGAAAATAGAGTGCCAGCCAGCATTAATTTTGACTTTAATTTTTCTTTTTATTTATCTTTTTTTTTCTTTGCTTTCCTTCCAGCCCTTACGCATCCCTTATTGTAATATTTTAGACCATGATGTGATGAACTAGTCTGACAACAACAACAACAACAACTACTACTACTACTACTACTCGCATGTATGTACGTACGTACGTATTCATGCATGTCGCTGGACAACAAATTGTTATTCGTCAATCCATCTATCCCGTCGAATTGGGTTTCGGGTAAATATGACAATGACTACCTTAGCAGCAAAGATGGTAGAAGGTTAGGGCAAGTGAGAATAGAAGACCATCCAAGTTATTTCTACATAAAGTAATGAACGAAACTACCGTGTTATGCCAGAGTAAATACCGAGATTATTGTAACTCTTTGTTTATATTTTTATATTTTGGAAACCCTCTCGTCCTGCTTGAGGTCTTAATCGAAGCGAAAAGTGACATAGTCGAAATGAAATGTATATAGTAGAGCCAGGAATTATCAGGGGATGGGGCCCCGGAGAGGAGTAGACAAAATGAAGAGTAGCTGTAGAGCCAATTCCCATTGGGGTAATGAAACAAATGATGGTTGTAGGATAAGAAAGGTATTTTTTCAAGAAGGATAGCGAAAGGGGAGAATCGAACAAGCACGAAAAACAAGCCACAAGAATATCCCACCCGTCTATCAGTATGGACGCCTCGCAAAAATGTACTCGAACAAAGTAAGCAAAGAAAGCCAATCAGCCGACACCAATGATGCCCATGAACCACACACTGAAAATGCACAAAGTCTATTCGTTTCGTAGCGCGTATGACAGTCAAGAATTTTTTTGAGCCCAAATTTTATACATTGAAAGGGTTTCGTTTCGCAGCGGCAACAGGCTAGAAACGTTCTGCCAAATCACCCCCTGCAACGGAATTATTCGTCGATGAGGAAACAGACGTAAACCCAGTGCTGGGGTTCAACATATCTTGAACAGCGACCTTGGGAACCTGTGGAACGGGCAGTTTACGCTGTGTTCCGTCGGGTCTGGACATGATATCGCTAATGGTGGGACCAACATGGGACTGGCTGGGACTGTAATAGTTGGGCCCCTCCGGTTGGGGTTCCATTGGAGCAAGAGCAGGGGTATGATGGAGAGACAGGTGGCGAATCGAAGGAAGGTGGAGTTCGCTGGATCCTAATGGCCTCAGGCGTGGCGAATGAGCAGGAGTTGCCAACGGGGTGTGGTCTGGCGTTGGGGAGAGAGAGTCGTGAGAGAAAGTCGGTGAGGACGGAGCGGTCGAGTTTGGCGAGTTAGGCCTCGAGCGCTTGACGCGATGAGTGTAACCATCCTCGTCCTCGTGAGAGTGAGAACGGCTCATGCTGTGCGAGATAGCGTACGCCGAAAGGGAAGGCAGGCCTCGACCGGCGTGGTGACGCGAGGCGAACAAATGGTGGTTACGTGGGCCAGCGTGGAATCCAAAATGCTGCTCATCACGCTCAACCTGAGATGCAGCGGTGGCAAGTAGATTGATATCCATTCCCGAGGACGCCCGCTCGGTGTTGCGAGCATATGGTCCCAGGTTGGAGCGCATGTGACCGGCATAGTTCGAGAAGGAGTGCGGAGGAGAGACATCCGGAGATCCAACCTGGGAGACAGGCGCAGAACGGGTCATCGCCTTGTTGGGCGGGGGCATCATCGAGCCCGCGTTGTTCACGTTCACCATTGCATTCTCCTGTCCAGCAGCGGCAGCAGCGGCGGCCGCGGCCAGATGCTGTGCCTTGTTACTCCGTCTGGAGTTGGGGTTGTTGTGAATTCTTGAGTGGCGTGTCAGCTCGTCAGAACGACTAAAGCGTTTTGTGCAGCCAGGGAACTGGCAGGCGTGTGGCTTTTCGCCCGTATGTGTGCGAATATGTCTGGTCTGGTGCTCCAAACGATGGAAGGCGCGATCACAGAGGGGACACTTGTATGGTCGGGGAAGATCCTGGCGCGCTTCTTCCGTTGCGGGACGGGTACCCTTCATGAGGGGCGGTAGTAGGCTAACAGACGAGGCCATGGTAGAGTTGGATTGAGTACTAGACGGGGTAGAGGGACCCTTGGAGCTATCCACTGGCGTGGAAGGTGCAGAACCAGTCTCGTTATTCTGAGGGTTCAGCAGATTGGTGAAATCCACTGAAGAAGCCGGTGGTGGCATGTGACTCGTCCTAACCTAGCACCGAGGAGTGTAGCTAAAGAGGGGACGAAGCCTGTATTTAAGGGAGCTCGGGAGGGCTGAAGAGCCGAGGCGAATTAGGATTCGTCGCAACAGGGGTAGGTAAATCGGGGAGAGTCGATCACCACCCGACAAGACGGAGACTTGCTCTTGGCAAAGAACTAGTTGATGAACGAGCACCGCAAGGAGTATCACAAGCCTTGCGATCAAAGAAAGTGCGATGTAACCAATTTCAAGGAATAGTGACTTTCGCAACGAAAGGGCGAGGCTATGGAATGTGGTGATGGGTGGGATAGAGTATATCCGGAATTGGTACGGTAAGTAGGTAACCCGAGATGGATGTAGTCCAGCAACAAATTGTCGAAAGGGAGAAGGGGAAAAGAGAGAGAAATCTGGAGAAAAGGTCTGGGGATAGGAGCATATAAAGGAAACAAGGAAGAGGAAGAATGAGGAATGGAGGGGAAGAAGAGAGAAATGGAGCTTCGGGGGGAGGGGAGGGAAAAAAGGCAGGGCAAAGCTGGTAGAGGGGGTTATCGGAATCGGAGACCTTGAAGGGAGAAAGAGAAGGAAAAAAAAAAAGTATGTACTAGTATGTGTGGGGAGAATTATCGGGGGGGCAAAAAA